TCAGCTCACAAATGAGAAAATTGGGACCCCTCAGGAGTTCAGCACAGGGATGTGTGGCACAGGGCGTGTGTGGCAGAGGGATCAGTCCCTCGAAGCTGAGACCATAACTCCTCCAGCCTTAACGATCTGACTTGAGCCTCATGTTGAAAGGTATAAAAGCTCTGGCAAAACGCAAGTGTCTTTCGCTTTACTTCTTCAACGTCTGTCAGTCATCTGGTTACCAGAAAATAGCCTTTAAGGACCCCTCTGAGAAGCCTTTGTTGGTCTTGGAGTGGGCATGCTGAGGCCTGGGCATGCTTGGTGGTTGGCTGGTTTCCTTTGCCCGCAGCCGAGGTTCTGCTAAGAGACTGTAAACGTGATTACTAGCTGTCAAGTGGTGTCATTTGGAAAGTGAGCTTGTGACGCTCGCTCACTCGCAGAAGCCGATTGCCGGAGGTTCCCCTGAAGTCAGCCTTGGAAGCCCTCCTGATGATTTCCGGATCCTGTTGTCATCAAGGGGGTTTAATTCATGGCTGCTAGAATGGCCCAGGACAGAGTGGTGGAGGGTGGCCAAAGATCTATGAACCTGGGACCTGGAGAGGAAGGGGCCTAGGGGCTCTCAGCCCTCTGCCACCCGTCCTACCCTCTAGGTCAGCAGGTCCCTGCCGCTTGGCTGCTGTGTGGTTTGGGTGTAGCAGTGAGCTCAGCTACATGACATTTTTTTTAATGTCAAAATGGTAATATGCTGTATGGCATAGAAAAATCAAGAAATGTTGGTCTAGTGGAGTCCAAGAGCTGTAGGAAAATAAAGCCAGATGCCACTCAGACATGGACAGCATGAAGATTTTCTTTCTTTTAGAGAAGGCAGGTCTGGCTTTGTGAAAGGAGATTTAGATTTCAGAGTGACAGGCTCTGGAGCCCATGTCCTCTATGCAACGGGAGAGCCCATGTCTCCAGGGCAGCGGGGAGAGGCAGTTCTCTGCCACCAGGCTTTTCTACCCAGATGGCCAGACCTGACGTGGACTCCTTGAGGCTGGGGAAATCCGTGCTTGTTCCTGGGGGTAGTGCAGAAGAAGGCTTTGGAGCATACTGGAGGAGGAGGCTCCTGCAAGATTTGGTGCTGTCTAAGGTGGCGCCAATGGATTCTTCTACTCTGCAGCCTGCATTCTACTACAGCAGAGCACAAAACCTGGGGTGGATTCCAGACAAAGGCACAGATTGGGTAACACCAACAGTCCAGCATTTGAACTTTTAAGGAATGCTATTTTTTTATTTACTTGTTTATTTTACTTTGGGCTCTACAGATGCCTCAGATAACAAGCAACAGGTCAATTGTGGACCAGCTACTTTCCTATTAAAGCTCAGCTCCAAATTTGAAATTTGCCAGAGTCTTGGATAGTGAGGCGGGGTCCCAGCCAAGTTGGGAACTCTGGTTCTGGTCCCACCACGCCCCCCCCCCCCCAGCAGTGCTCCCTCCTGCCAGCATGGAGCTTCAGTTTCTCAGCTCACAAGCCCCTGGCCTTTATGTCTGCACACTGCAGCTGTAAAGTTTGGGACTTGCTGAATCTTAGTGGTGGTGGTTCATTAGCATGCAGGGCACTACAGCCATCTCTGTGTTGTCACTCACGTTTTTATCTCTCTTCATGGCAAAATCATTTAGCAGTAGTATTCTCTTGCAAGTTTATGAAATCTTTGAGGACAGAGACCCTGCCTTGTCATCGTGAAGCACTGCAGTAATAGTATATATTTAATGAATAAAAGAGCCACTAGAGAAACAAATGAGTGAAAATCTGATAAGAATGTCTCCTGTTCTTATCAAGGTATCATTTACTGTTTGTTGTTTAGTGTCAAGTTTGGTAATATTCATGTTCTTTTGCTTTTTGTTGTTACCAAAGGAGAATGCTAATACGTACTTAGACCAAAGAAATTAACAGTAGCTCAGGCAGACCTTAGGTTCTACCCTCACTAGTGAGCTATGCAGTCTTGGAGGAATGTACCTTCCCTCTCTGAGCATCCCCCTAGCCCAGTGGCTCTAGAAATGTTCTGAGAGATGCTTCCTGCTTGGCTACCACTCTAGAAGTTGGTGGTTCTTGGGTCTAATCAAAGGTCAGATGGATCTACCCCCAGGACCTCACCATTCATTGAAGACATGTCAGCACCACTTCCAGAGCCCCGGAGTTCAAGTGTCAGGTGCAGCAAGCCACAGCCCTGTGAAGGTGGAAATCGTGGAAGCTAGAGGCCACTGATGGTGGTCAGATGCGTTTCCAGGGTCCTCTAAGAAAGTAAAATGAATCAC